CAGAGAGAAAATTGTTTGAAAATATATTTATTCAACAAATATTACACTTTAGTTTATGTTGACATGGCCTAGTAGACTGCTGTTCAACTTGGGTCAAAGCATCAAAGACTGATATTAAAAGAGCTTTATCTGGTTTAAGTCGACCTAAACCACTGTATAGCTACTTTTGACAGATGTCGCTGCACCACAGCGACCCAGGAAAGCCTCTCCAGCATTTTCTGATCGGTCCATGGTTTACCATTTGTATTACATGGATTCCGCCATCTTCCAAGATGGCGGACGCTAGTGTCCTTAAAGTGTAAAAGTACCGGTTACGATACGCTAGGACTGACAAGAGAGGTCCACTAACTTGAAAATCGCTTTTGAGACGAAACCTAGTGGATGAGAAAAAAAAATTGAAAATCCATTTATTACTACTACTTTCATCAATTTTTCTCTTAGAAAAAACTTGTATGCGTGCTGTTTGTTGATGCCTTCCATTTTTTTTCTTTTGTTGAAACCCACCTCATAGAACGACAACTAAATAGACCATAATTTATATACGTTATATGCGACTAAGACGTTCCGTAAAAATTAGTGCATTCTTCCCAAAAGGATTCATTCTCCGCTTTTTAGATTATCTAACGAAAAGTTAGACTTTAGTTTGTTTCATACCGCGTAAAGTAATGCCATCTATTTCTGTTTATATTTAAAGGACTCAATCCAGTTTTGCATTAGCTGATAAAGTATAGAATAAAATGTCAACTTAATCTGAAATGAATCATCAGAAAGAATGCGGTCGTGAAGAATGCAGTGTGTACACGTTCTGTCTACCTATCCGCTGTTGTTTGACGGGGTTTTTGAGTATTTCTTGATGTGTATATGATGCTTTTGTGTTTTCTTACTGCGATCTTATGGTGAGTGATACATATAAACCTGCGACAGTTGAGAATATACCATCGTACATTGTTTTAGGGGCATTACAAATTCATTTTTACATCGGGGAACTAAAGGAGTCGATCGTATCGAAGAAGCAAATTATGTGAAAAAATTTATATTAGAAATCTATTTTCTCTTTACAAATGTGAATGTAAGCTGCCAGTTTGAATTTATAAGGCTAACTTTAAATGTTCATTTTCTTTCAAGTATCTCATCCCGTTTGCTGTTAATCAGCTTGGAAGTGTTTTATACTATTACAGTTTAACAAAAGAAGGTATTTGTCACTTTTTCTTGTTTAACGATAAAACAAATGATTGAATCACGGTTTTTTCATGTGTTACTTTCAGATTTTTCAATTGCTGTACCTGTCACAAATGCATTAACGTTGATTGTAACTTATATATGTGATGCTGTATTTCGAAAAGAATTACGTAGTTTAAGTATGTTTTTATTATAAATACAAAACCTAATAAAATTGTCTGAGTTGTTTATACTATTTAGAATTTATGATTGGAATACTGTTGGTTACAATCGGAGTCAGTTTATGTGTGATGTCGAAGCCACATTGAAAACTAGAAAGTGATGACGGGTAAGCATGATGGGTGATGTTTTAAGCGATGAAATGAGAAGTTGGAAAGCAGCGTTTTCATTCACAATCGCGGGTCAATACACTAAATCTATACTATTATTTTAGATCTTTTCGAATGAACAACTATTTCATACGTCAAACATGGATATTGAATACTCTCGACCACTTCTCTAAAAATAACAACGATTAACAAGATAGCTGTTTGTATAATCGGATTTTCTAAATTCACAAGCTATTTTTATAATCTTTTGATTATTTTATTACTACATCAACATTGTACACTATTATATATCATTCAAGTCAATGTGGTTGTTTGATATATCGAGGCATACATCAGGTGTTGTGAAGGTTACCGTACGCGATATCTTGTCTAAACGGAATTAATTTATCCTGTTATATATTATTTTTAATTCTTTGTTCTACTTTTTCTGTTATTTCGAATTATTCTAATGTTCATCGGTATTTGTTTCTATTTTGATAATATTTGAATCTTTTGGTTTTGGATCAAATTTCTACAGAAGAATTGTTCCTTATCCGGTTTGTATAATCGTACGTAATGTATATATTTGTAAACTCGTGAGTGCTATTTTTGGTTTTTTCGTTCCTATTATGCTTCATATTTCTTTTTAAATAGTAATTTATACGACAAAACTAATAAGACGCCATATAATTCAAAAGTATTTTTTCGCTGTTGATCTTTTTCATCACGAAAACACCAAGTCACTTTTCGTAATTTTGCAACTTTTAAGTATTTGTTTACAAATATACCCCCGATAAGCGTCATTCAGTTTGGTTGATTGTTGAATATAATATACTTTAGTTCTTTGGAATGTCTGTTTTAACAATGAAGATGCATTCAATTCGAAATCGTAGTTAATGGATGCTGAAAGAACAGCACGAAAAAAATTGAATGGTACGCATATATTCACAATGTTGTTTGTGTTTGTTATTATCAACTTTAGTCTGGCATTTGTCGAATAATTTGTTAAACTCTGTAGTGTAGAGGAAAACTTTAGCCCCTCCCATAAAAATATCATTCAAATCGAAAGGAAAACAATAAACACTGAAAATCTTACTTTCTTGTATAAATAATTAAAGAAGTGATATCTTTAGGTAAAGTCTTTCAAACATGTACTTTCCATGACAATAATAAAAAAGCCTACTGTTAAATGATACAAAAATATAGTGTATTTGTCCACTGTCATCAAATTTCAAGACATTGCCGTATGTCTTGTAATTTCATGATATCTAACTCCTCCCCTCGAACGTTTCCGTTGCGTGGCACTTTGTTCGATCTCTCTTTATCTATGTCTATGGCACTGAAGGGTATGGAATAGTTTGGGCAATATCCAAAATAGTTATAAATCGATTTATAAACGTTTATTTATAAATTTTTAATTTATAAACTGGTTTATAAACGGTTTTTCGCTGAAAAATTGACCGAAAAAAGTTTAGAGTTATAAATATTTATAAACTACAGTATTTCGGACTCATCAGTGGTTTATGCTAGCTAGTTTCATTGTGGCTTCTATCCAGTGTCCAGTCGTGGAAACTGCAGGTTTATCAGGCGTTATGCACAAGAGAAGTGACCGGTCGTGTTCGTCGTTTCCTTTTCTGAACGGTACCGTTCATGTTATGTAGGCACACAAGGTTGTAACAATATCTAATTTTTCGTCGTGTGAACAAAGTCGCAGGTTTAGCGGGACGGAGATTTAATATCTCTCGCATTCGAGCTTCCACCATAGGGTATTGTATCGATCTGTGCCCATCAATATCATTCAAATGTGTAGAAAGAACTGACCTATATTCAAGTTGTTCTTCGTATAACTGTGACAAAAATTTCAAGAAATACTCCAGAGTAGACGAAAAAATACCTGCAGATCCTTCAAGACACCAGCCGTTCCATTTTCGTAAACAGCATTCGTATGCTGTTCTCGTGCCCCGTCTTCTAGCATTAAGAATGAGCTTTTTAGCTGTTGTGAATAAGTCTGTGTTGGACCTGAGAGTCGCCAGGCTGCAAGCATCAGAGTGGATTCTTCTAGTAATGGATTTATGTGTCCTGTCAGGCTGGGAAGCAGTTGTTGGCAGTAGAAATGGAGGTTCGATCTGTATTCGCAGAAGCATATGATAGAATGCTTGAGCGGATTATACTGGTTTTATGATGAGGGCCCTTTTGGAGACATTGACTGACTAGAGAAAAGGGAGGAAATAAATATAGGTTATCCGATAACGCGTTCCAAAGATACGGGGGAACCGTTCCCCCAGTATCTTTGGAACGCGTCGTGACCTATGGCATTTGGATTAGACCGGCAGCTAACAAAGAGAGGTAGCTATTTCGTCGACCGATCTGCGAACAGGTCTGGTGAACGGACCAAAGAGTCTTTGTAGCTCTTTAAAAATATCTGGATTAAGTATTCATTTTGAGTAGTCTTTGAGGTGTCTCGATGTCCAGTCTGCATCTATGTTTGCCACACTAGGAAAATATTCAACAGTCAAGTCAATGTTATTATCCACACAAACTTTGTGGATAATAACACTGACTACGGCAATGATTGTCGTAGTTGTTTGGCTTCTTTCCGATCAAGGCCGAGATAAGAAAAATCTGGCCGTTCCGTAAAAGTTATTGGTTTTGTATTGTAATCTACTAGATTGTTTATTCATTAACTAAGTTCCGTTTTGTATGAGTTCAAGAGTGATACGGTGCTATATACAACTTGTGTTGAACCAGTTCATTAATCGTAAGAAACCGGAGATTACGAAAATACAAAGGACCGCATAGTACTACCTGTGAGGTGGCTAACAGAGTTCCTATGATTTCTGATAGTTCTCGAATCATTGTTGTGCTGGTTTTCAGCAATTCTTTACATTTATTTGTATTTTAACGACTTTCTGGATCGGTAAATGTCGAATCATTCTCTCAGTGTTAATGATAAAGCTCAGATATTCTAATGATAGTTTCGGTGTTAACATTAACTTAGCAAAATTGATTACAAATCCGAGTCTGTCTCGCAGAAATAGTAACATATCTCAGTCTTTGATAGTTCCGTCTAATGACATGTTTATCAGAATAATGTCATCCAACTAAATCACTATTCTCATTCCTAGCCGTCTGCAGAAGCCAATTATAGGCCTCATGATTTTTGTGAAAAGGCGAGGAGTACACGCCAATCCAAATGATAAAACGTAAAACCCATAAAGAACGCCTTTGCATTTGAAGCGTAAATATTTTCGAAAGCTTTCATGTATTGGGACACTGAAATACGCATCCTTGAAATCTATTTTAATAAGATAATTCTTCGGACGTAATAACGATTTAACTTGAACGCGATTCTCGAGCTTAAAATTCTCATAAGCGATAGATGCGTTTCAGTCTCTTAAATCGAAAACAAGTCTGTTACCATCGTCTTTTTTTGACCGTAAAAATAAAATGCGAGACGAATTCGTCTGGCGTATGACCGACCTGTCGAATTGCTCATTTTTGAAGCATTTCTTCGACTTCTATCGTAATGAGTGTCTCTTCTTTGGGATTAAAACATATCGAACGTGGAATGGGTACCGAAGTAAAGTCTATACAAAAAACTTCTAATGCTTTTAGAATCTATCGATCACGAGTCAGTTTCTTCCAGTTTTTCATGAAGTATTTTAACCTTCCTCCTAGCTTTGCTACTGGATTAGTGGCAGCTCTGATACTGTTTTGTAGTTGTATTTCTGATTCTCTGTTATGAATTTTGCTGATCAGTATTAGCCATTACAGCCTGTGGTGCTCTCTCCTTCTTTTCTGTTCTATTATCCCTTTTCATTCTGCTACATACCTGTTATTATCAGCACTGGTTTTATGTGTTGTAGTAGGTGTTAATGTTCTATTTGTCGGAAAACGACCACTTCGTTGAAAACTATAACTTTGTTGACCCATATTCGTTGTACCACCAGTTCTTGAATCTGAATGAAATCCTCCTCACCGTGAGCGAGGATATTTGTAACCGTCACCGCCTCCATGAGGCGTCAAATTAATTCTTGAATGGTGAACTCGTTTGCGGGCACGTGAAAGTTTTGAAGAAATTTGTCAGCAGATAAATTTTTCGCCGGTTTTGTAAACATTGACACTGAGCAAAAATTGTCGCTGCCTGAAGTTTGAAATAAAAGGTAGCTTTCGTTGATGCAAAAATTTAGCATTAGCTTCGCCTAATGCAATTAACCCTTGTTCGATGATGCTCGTCAATTTTTTTGTCATCTTTGATGACATTTTGCAATTTTGACTATATGGCAGCTAGTGCAACCGATGTATTCAACAAATGTTGTTGTAAACCTTTGTCAATTTTGTCGTTTTTAACCGCATATGACTTTTCGTCAAACGTTTCGAAAATTATACCATCAAGTGTCGGTGCCTGAAGAACCTGGAGGTCGGGCGATTTTGTTTTGTCAAATTTTGGTTTTTATTACATCACGTTTGTGTAGAACAAGGAAATGTTTATCGATGTTCATATCGGTGGGTAAAGCCTTTTTTATTTTATGCTTTGTTTGATCGAAGATTTTTTTACCATCTCTCGTTGATTTGGACGAAGAGCTTGAGCTCAACGTGCTGTTTGCTGACGAGCTCGATAGGCTCGACTCGGACTCGGAAGCCGAAGACACCTTTCCTTGTTTTTGTTTTTTAGCACGTTTATGTTTTCTTGATGGTGAGTACGAACGTTTTTTACATTTTTGTTGCCATTCAGATACGCGTGATTCGTGTGTAGAATCACTGTCGGCTTGAGAATTCGAAATTAGACACTGTGTCTACATTCGATATATGTTCTTCTGAACCTGACAAATCATGCCTTGCGGCTGTGTGATATTAATCTTGTTGAGCATTTTCAACGTCAGAATGATGTTCCTGATCCTGTTCATCATTACCATTAATATTAAGGTTATTATTATCCTCATCATCAGTAATTTGTTCAACGACGTTGCTTATCACTGAATATGTTTTATGTGTCTTCATATCACAAAAACTTTCAAAAATATCGTTTATTCATCAAGAAGAACACGGCTTTCGTACCTTATTTATACCACCTTGCAAGTATCCTCACTACGTTTTGTCTTGTTCTTTTACATACAAAGTAAAATCTAAATGTGCTTTTCGTCAAATGGACAACTATGAAAATATAGATATGTGTTTGTTTGAGCCAAAATTATATTCTACTGATCCAGTTTTTTGTTTAAGCAACAATGTTAATCATGCAGTTGCCTTGTGGCAAGATCATTTTATGACAATCGTTCAGCAGTGTGTTCCTATCAAAAGTATTCGTATTGTCTTCTCTTGTTTCTTGTCTTTTCGCTTCTTGTCATTCTGTGTTACAAATATATTCGAGGCACAATGTTATATAAATGAGGTCAAATTAAACATAAACAAATGTCAATGAATTTTATTTTCAAACTCTACTAAAACGCTTCCTTCACCCACTCTTTCAATAAATAACATTTGATATAGAAAGAGTTTCGTCTCTTTAGCTCCTTGGTATTATTATTTCATATAATTTAATGTGGAAAGCGCACATCAAATACGTTGCAACAAATTGTCGTTAAATGTTAAACTCTGTTTCTAGAATTTTTCGTGACTCGTCATCAAACTAATAGTTCGTTATTTTTTGAATCAATATGTAATTGAATAGTAATTTTCACTGTGTTTGATAATAAAGCAGTATTAAGTTGCTAAAATTTGATTAATAAACAGGGACCCTAACAATAAAAGTTGCTTATCAGTAATTCTATTGAATTTGAACCAAAGCTCGAAATGTTTCAAATTCTTTATCATCTTTGACGAACTGTTGTTGGTCATCGCCCGTCTTCATTCGTCAACCTATATTTTAAATATTGTCTGCCCGACCAACGCTCTCCTTCAATTCGTCTGGTTCAATATGATCCACCCACTCATTTTTTTTCTTGATTATAGATACAGTATCACTAAAACACAAGAAGTTAGAGCACCTCACAGAACCCATTCGAACTAAGACTAATTATTCATTCCATTAACTGTAGAAAAATATAATAATAATAACAATACATGTACTACATATATTATATTACATGTGAATATGTTTATTACATATTCACCAGTGCAAAGTGACATATTTCAACTAAAAGAGCAAATTTTTCAACAAACAGAGAAGAGTTGGACGTCTATGATTTTAGAAACATTCATCCACATCCGTCCAGCCTCTAGGGTAACCCGGCTCCACCCCTCGTGGACTTTATATTGTTCACCCAATCCGTCTTTTACGGGCCGGTCTGAATCGGACAGGTGGATGAACTAATGAGTTTCGAGTCCTGGTAAGAACTTATCTAGTAATCTTTATTCTATACTTTGGCCCTGTGTAAATTAAACTACGTGTTTTTTTTCCTTTTTACGTTGTCAATTCATAAACTGGAACTGACACAAGCTGTCACCTTCATGTTTTATAGAAATATTTAGTATATACAAGTTATTCATATTTAAAATACATGTTATTGCTAGTCGATGTATAATTTATACGATTATTCTTTTTTGAAATCATATAACATGTTTCTACACTGTAAACAATAGTCGTAGATTAATAAACTATCAAAAAGGGTTTATTGAGACCAATAAACCTTTTAAAAAACGCTTTTCCGTTTTCTATATCCAAAAAACTAAAAAGCGTTCGTGACAGATGCAAAATGAAAAACGGACGGTTTTTTATCAAAAATAAAAAACCTTTTTCAGTTTTTTGTCCAGTTTAAAATACCAGCTAAAAATCTCTTCAGTTTTTTGTCGAGTCTAAAAAACTTAAAAAACTGAAGAGTTTTTTAGCTGATATTTTAGACTCGACAAAAAACTGAAAAGGGGTTTTTATTTTTGATAAAAAATCGCCCGTTTTTCATTTTGCATCTGTCACGAACGCTTTTTAGTTTTTTGGTTATAGAAAACGGAAAAGCGTTTTTTAAAAGGCTTATTGGTCTCAATAAACCCTTTTTGATAGTTTATTAATCTACGACTATTTTTTACAGTGTATTGTCGACATCACAACGAAACAAAACGTAAGCTTGCTGAAGACTAGCGTAACGCATACTAAATGGTGCTACCGTTAGTAGGTATAGAGTTTTCTATAACAAGATGGACTTGATTCACTGAGTGCATTATTTCGTAAAAAAGGTTTGCTTTATGATTGTATACATATACGTACCTTCTTTGAATGGAAGTGGGTGAACATTTTTGCTTCAAAAATTATTAGATAGAAGTTTGAGAGACGATCTCGATTTTCACCTAGTGGTTATAAAGTGATAAGTTTACAAAGTTCAGTTTCCTCAAATTTATAAAATTTCTACTAGAATAAAAGCCGAAAAGTTCAGATTTTCCATTCCAAGTTTTATAACCATAAGGAAGCTGATCCGCAAATCCACAAATTTTTCTATATGAGCCTCTACAATCTATGGCAGTAACATCATGTGTTTGGTTGAAAGCTCATGGTGGTTTTCTAGAGGCTCAGTGTTGATAGCTTCATTCCAGAAGTGTTTATGGAAACAAACGAATATCCGATTCGTGATCAACATTAGAAATTACTCATGATAAAGTAAGTTTTGAGTAAAAAGTAATTGATCGCCTGGCAAGATTTTCTCGTAATGTATGTGAAATGCCTCTATGTTAGAAACGACGAGGATAATAGATACATCTAGCCATCAGACATAGCAGACTATCATATCTATTCAACTGTTTTAGAGGATAACTGCGAAATAGAAAATACATAGTGAATAATATAATCAACATGTTTCTGTCGCAAATAGAACCGTTATTTTGGAATTACTGGGCTAATATTGTATATATTCTTGGCAGTATTGGCTATATGTTTATGAACTTGTTTTGTTTAGTATTTTGTATTAATAAATTCGTTTATGCGTCATTCGTTTTGTATGTTATTCTTGCCATTTTGTTTGTAATTGACGCCATTTTATATACAATTGATTGGTATACATATGCTGTTCTATTACGTAAGAGTAAAAATATTCCAATAAATTATAAAGCTGAGTTTACGGCATGTATTTTTCAAATACTGGGTAGTTATTGTTATTTATTAGGGGCGATACTGGCTGAAAATAAAACCAAATATATGCCAAAAATACTTGCCTTGAATGTTGCTGGTATATTTAGTCTTGTTCTTGAAGCAACCTTTATCATTGTTGGTTGGCAAATAACTCTTAAAAACAAGACATATTTCAATCGTGGATGTTGCGCACAAGGCATTTATCTGTGGGCACACGTTCTTAATTTAACAGCAGATCTCATTTATTTATTAGCAACAATAATTGCCGTACTACGTTTTCAAATGGATTTGATAAGATATCCAGCAACTGTTCAATTGTTACAAATTATCGGAGATATTGTCTATGTTGTTGACTCGTTACTTTATATGAGATGTTATATGAGAGAGAAAGATGTTCTAGAAGAAAAACGAGCCAAAGAGAATAATGAGAAGGAAACTGTTTCTCAACAGAAATACGATAATCGTGGTCTAGAGTTAGAATCGATACTTGGTAACAACAAATAGAAGTCGTTTTATTGACGCACATGGGAAAAACTTTCAAAACGGAGTATTTATTCTATTTTTATGTTAGAAAAATATTTGTCGTGAAAATTATATTTTTTTCCAATAGCAACCGTTCGATTATTTGCCGCCAGTAAAACTGCCAATTCTACGTGAATAAACTAAAGAAGACCAGAAAGTTCTAAGATTCACAAATGGTCTGATATGGAGCTTTTTCTTACTTTATCATTTATAATCAATTTGCAATGTTAGCAAGGCTATCCGTGCAACTTATGTTGCATTATGTGAAAGAAATCAACAAAGTAGTGGAAGAAGGTAATTAAACAATCCAGAATTTTTCTTATTGTATCGCAAATAAAAAGTGTGAGAAAACGGCGCGCGTTTATCATCAGTTAATACATTCGTGTATACATACAGTAGCTGTCAGAATTGTTCAACCATCTAATGAAAAAATTTTGTTCGTTTTATATTTCAGAGATGAAAGTGGCTAGAGACCTGCGATTTCTACCATGTTGTAGCCCATCGTCTCTAGTATGTTTGTGGTTAGTCTTCCATCAGAACTTCGTATTGTTTATTTTTTATTAAAACAAAAAAAAACATATATCAAATTTTTCACGCGTCAAAATTACCCAGCCACTTTTTCCACCGCCCACTGCGGGCTCATTTTACCTTCAAATGTATTCCATGAGATATCATTCGAGAGAGAAAATTGTGCTCTACAAGATAAGCTACTTTTTAGTGTAGTTTCTTTCTCGAAAAAAAATGATAACCACTGGTTTAAATGCATACCCGAAAGATTTTCTTTCTCGGACTTTTACTAAAATTTTAATTTTAAATGCACTGTTACAAACCTTAAATACATTGTTAGAAAGGCCATCGTAAACTACACTCGAACTACACTCGAAATGCTGTTTTAGCAGTTGTTCTATTGCAGAAAGTTTACTTGATCCCTTGCCATGCTCACACCAACAGTGCATAACAATCTATAGGATTTCTCGAATTCTCTTATCCTTGCACCGAAGACAATGTAAGAAACTTTTTTAATACTACAGATTTGTAGAGAACTTTTTTCTCTACAAAACTTATATATGTAAAAGTAAAATAAATATGATTCCAAACAGTCGCATACATTTTTTTCACTTGAACGAATGAGCGATGACAATGTTCGGATGACTTCAACTAGAAGCTAGGTTCAGATTTTGTCGAAAAAAGCTTTAAGATCAGATATTGCATGATCTTTCGTTCAGAATTTGAGGCTCGTTCTACCTGATATGGTATGACGAAGTTCGCTTTTTATTTAACGAAATTGGGCATGAAAAGTTTTTAAAAACAAAAGAAACAAGAAGTCAGCTTAGACTTGTTAAGGGTATTTCCATTTTGAGCTGAATATAGTCTAATGAAGAGAAAAGTCTGGAATATAAAATGAGACCACTCCCAGCTCTTCACGACCTTCCTTGCAAAAATTATGAAGTTTTTAAGTTTTTCCTTCAAAGCCTAGAACACCTCAACTTTTTAGTTTCGTAAATTTTTCTCTCCTTTCCCATATGTTCAGAATTTTTTTTATAGATACCAGGATAGAAGAAAGTGTACTCTTCAAAATGAGAGGTCTTCTACAATTTTCCGATGAGTTTTCGTGGAGATATTATATTATTATATATTATCATATCCGCAAATACCCTGAAAAACAGAGCACTGTACAATAGGTGTTTTTCTCATTATGCGTTTTTCGATAGTCCCTTCAATTCGGTCACATTACGACCCCTCGAAAAAATGGTTTGATTGAGCTTAAATTCTTACCACAGATACTTGAGACCCTATCTCAGGCTCGCCTTTTTAAAGCGGTTTCGATTTCAACTTTCGGCGTGAGAAGGTTTTTAAAATACAAAACCGCTTTTTTATCCAGGATTTTTAGTATTTTTCTAATAGGAAGGAAAGCATATTTTCGAAAAGAAAACGACGAACCTGAGATAGGAGTTAAAGTATCTGAGGTCAAAGTTTGAGCTCGATCGGACTATTTTTTCGAAGGGTCGTAATGTGACTCGATGAAAACTAGAGTTTTCCAGAAAACCCATAGACGAACATGTCAGAAAATTCTGAGCAAAAAATACATCGATTTTCTTTTTCAACGTTCTGTCCCTGGTATTCATTTCAGTCCGATCAAACATCGGCTTTTTCAAGAAGGTCAAAAAAGAGGAGGGGGGCACCCTTAATAATATGCGCGTATTTTCTAGAAATATGAACTAGATACTTAGGACAGCACATGCTAAAGGATGTTTTTTTAATTAAAAAAGAAGGATGAGATAAATACAAGAAACTTTTAAAGACTAAAAAGACTTTGATGTTACTGAGACTGGAGACCAGAATTGATCAGGTCAAACTTTGAGCCCAGTTCGGTCAAATATTTTCGTGATCCGATTCGATCTCTGATACATGCATATTGCATATTGTTTTCTCTTGGTGATTAAACATTGAAATTAAGAAAACCTGACATGTTGATTTTCTGCAAAAAAACATAAAATATTCTGCTTTGTATAAAGTAGGTTTTCTTATGCTGATTTTCTCGCTTGGATCTATTCGAGCCTTCCGTATGGTTGAATTAATTTCGCTCCTCCGATCTTAGTTTTATCAGAGCTTGAATGACTTATTTTGTACGTGATGTATGATAAAGGTTAACTGTGCTCAATTGTGCATACGTCTTCCTTGGTTTATCAGCAAAAACAAAATTGTTTTTATTTTGTTTCATGAAAGTATAACATTGGTTTCTCCTGCTTGAAGTAGGATAAAGAAAGTTAAGAATCTGATTAACTTTCTTCAGTTAAAGTGCCAGATCCGTACCCGTTGAACACAAGAGACTTCATTTTTCTTAAAATAGTTCCCGTTCATAAATATCAGTCAGGTAAGGCAAAGTATTAGTGTATTTAAACTATCATCCTGCAGACAAGAGAGGCAATTCTATCGTCAGGATTTCGATGGGAGTGAACATCTAGAAAAAAGCTTCATCTTCGTTGGTCTGAATCATCCATTCTCGAGTTAAGCGAAACAGAAATATTTCTCTTCTGATACACATAAAAAACTTACCGTCTTCAAAATTTTATCAGAGGTACACCGGCCAGCATGGGATGTATAATACGGCTCCTCGTGTAAAGTCTTCGTGGATTTGCACAAAAGCTAGTACGTGATCAGTGTGTATGTATGGGGGAGGAGAACCTCCAGCAAGTGGGCGACAAGAAGTTTGCGTCAGTTTACTAGAACAGAATTGTGACTGATGTGTAATAACGGGATGCATGACCACTTTCGAAGTTTGTCAACTGTAGGAAAGATATTGGGCTATTGAAACTGCCATTTGTTAGCACCCTATACTGATAACGGTAACTACAAGGTGAGGTATTCCTCCACTTCCTCTGCTAGAGGCGCATCGAAATGAAACCGCAAGATGAAGCATGTGTTCTGTTTGGTTACCCTTTAGCTACTGAACTGATCGGAAATGAGGCCAGCCTTAGTGCTTAAACATAGGAACAATTATTTGAAAGCCAATTGAAGCTATATTAAAATCAAATTCTTTTAAGCAAGGCGTACCCAATTCGAAGTTTAAGCACTATCTTATTTTTGGCTATATTGTACATGGCTCGATAGAGCTTCGACGAGCTGATCAAGAATATCAAGATTTATTAGAGCCAAATAAAAGGCGTGTGCTTGTTTCTTAAATAATTCCGTTATCTTGATAGATAGCGACCTGCAGTTTTCAGTAATCGAAACTAGAGAGAGACTTAAAGTCAACTTTTCATAATCAAAAACTAGTTTTTAAAAGGATTCCTTGAGTCAGCATGAGATTTAACCGAGATATAAGGATTTTCATTTTTGCTAGACACAAGTGAAAAGCCGGTTTTTCACAAAAATGCTTCTGGCGAAGTTATTTTCATTTCTACACACAAAAAACTGTTGCCACTATGCTCAACGTAGTCGATTACTTATATTCCATGGCATTTCGAGATTTCCAGAAATGTCTGCTCGAAGATGGACACATGCTCGAGGAAAGCGAGCACTGTCCAAACGACGATAGTTGACGAGCTGCGACTTGCATAATTTTGTAGAGTAACGTCCGGACTACCTACACATGCAAAAAAATTACTAGCATTGTATGTTAGTTTTCTGAGAACGAAGCTGGTTTTACAAAGATCCTCTGCAAAACCGGTCTTCCGAACCTTTTAAAAAGTAGTTTTTGATTATGAAAAGTTGACTTTAAGTCTCTCTCTAGTTTCGATTACTGAAAACTGCAGGTCGCTATCTATCAAGGTGACGGAATTATTTAAGAAACAAGCACACGCCTTTTATTTGGCTCTAATAAATCTTGATATTCTTGATCAGCTCGTCGAAGCTCTATCGAACCATGTACAATATAGCCAAAAATAAGATAGTGCTTAAACTTCGAATTTGTTGCGCCTTACCTTTCAGCCAAAATATTTTTTTCAGCATAACCGATGCTCAAAATAAATAAAACGTGCTCAAAACACTAGTTTTCCGTTTTTACTACCAAATATTGAAGTACGATACTCCATAGATTTTTAGAATAGCTTTTCGCGAGTTTTTCGGCTATAGATAAGACATCCTCACTCCATCTTGTCAAGATCTATCTTATTTTAATTGAATGTGCGAACACGTGGTGTTAATAATGTTAAACGTTATTTTAAGAGTTTAAATACATACTTTTACGACGCATGCATATAGATGATTAATTAATTATTATAATTTGCAATGATTATCACGATATTTTTACTCGTGATCATGGTGATGATAGTTGTAGTGTCGCTTAAAGACACATTATATCGAAAGTGCATGTTGCATGAAATTCAGTTTCATTTATTATTCATTAGTTATAAAACTGGTTAATTTTTCGACAACTGTTCAAAATATCGTTTGAAATGTTGAAGCGAGTTTTTACTGATGAATATTGATATAACATTTGACGGTATTATAGGTACTTATTCATAGAGTGTTAGTCAGTA